AATGAGGTTAAGCCTCTGCCAATAAGAAAATGTCCAGGGGTCAGGCAACAAATATCCTGGGGGTCATTTGACATGGGTGTCAGGGGACGAGAGTTGAGAATAGCTTCTATTTGTGCAAGAACTGTTGAGAGTTCCTCATAAGTCAAATGGGCATTTCCGACAATTCGGTTGAGGTGATATTTCGTGCTTTTAATCGCAGCCTCCCAAATACCACCCCAATGAGGACTTCGGGGGGGGATGAATTTCCATTGAATCTCCCTGGTACTCAAAAAATTAAAGAGCGAGTGTAAGTGTTCATTGCTTTTGAACAACGAGTACAAGTCATTCAATTGATTTCTTGCTCCTACAAAATTCGTCGCATTGTCGCTGTAAATGACTGTTGGGTTTCCTCTACGAGCAATAAATCTTTTTAGTGATAGAAGAAAATCCTCTGTTGTTAAACTTGTCACAAGCTCAATATGCACTGCCTTTGTCACGAGACATACATACACAGCTATATAACACTTTATGATTTGTGCCTTTCTTAGCCTTGATGCCTTTATAAAAAAGGGGCCCCCGAAATCAATTCCCACTTTAGAAAAAGGATTTGCAGGGCAAATTCTGTCCCGTGGTAAATCTGCCATGATTTGAGACGCCGTATTGGCTTTAAATCTATGACATGTGTGGCAATTTCTTATAATTTTTTTAATGTCTCTCAGACCACCTAGAGGCCAGTATCGTAATCGAAAATTGTATAATACACTTTGTGCGCCTGCATGACCGAGGAGCGTGTGTTCGAGTTTGAGCATGAGGGAAACAATATAACACCGCGATGGTAATAAGATGGGGAATTTTGCGTCAACGGGTAATCCAGACTTGGAGAGCCGACCGCCTACGCGAAGTATTTCAAAATCATCAAGGAAGGGTGATAGTTGAAGAAGACATCGATTTGATAATTCCTTGTTCGTTTTGAGTTCAAGAATTTCCTTTGAAAAATGCATTTCCTGCAGTTTACGCACAATTACCATCTCTATTGATTTCAACTCTGTGATGCTGAGTGGGCCACTTGTTTTTGCATGTCCATGTTTCAGGTTATTAACAAATCGCGCACAAAATGCTAAAACCCTTTTTAGTTTGAGGAATGAAGAGAAATTTGCAAACATTAGGTCCCAAAATTCTGTTTTTGCCCAATTATGCAAATTTACCCTCCCTTTTCTTTCTTCAGGGATTTCTCTTAGTGTGACCTCATGGTCGACTAGACTCAGATTCAAATCTGCGGATGAGAAAAATGCAGGGCCGTGCCACCATAATGATGAATCAATTAAGTCCACAGAAGTGCATCCGCGCGAGATGAGATCCGCGGGATTATTAAGCGAACTTATGTGACGCCAAACGCAATTGCTTGTTAATTGCTGAATTTCTGACACTCGATTTGAAACAAATATGGTCCAACGGGAAGGTACTGATTTAATCCAAGCCAGGGTAATTTGTGAATCGGTCCATAAATTAATTGAGGAGAACTGGCACCTATTTTTATATATTGAGACAATTCTTTCTACTAGAAGTGACAGCAAATGGGCTGCACATAGCTCCAACCTTGGCAAACTGAGTGTTTTTAGTGGAGCCACTCTGCTTTTTGACGAAATTAATCTGCATGAGACAACACTGTCCGTATATACTGCACGGAAGTAGACACATGCACCATATGCCTTAAGACTTGCATCGGCAAATCCGTGCAGCTCCAATCGAACAAAATGCTGATCGCGAAACAAATACCGGGGTATGGTCAATTTTGACAAATTGGGCATATCCCGCTGAAACTCCGACCACCTGACCAAAATATCGTTGGGCAATTCTTGATCCCAATCAATCTTTGATACCCAGATTTGCTGCATAATAATTTTTGCGCTGACAACGATAGGACCTACTAGCCCAAGAGGGTCGAACAATTGAGCGATTGTGGATAAGACTCTGCGCTTTGTGGGGGGGAGTTCGGGGCCTGGTTTGGGTAACGATATTGAAAATAAGTCACTCTTGGAATTCCAACATATTCCTAGGACCCTATTTGGAGATCCGTGTTCTTTCAGTTCGAAGACGTCTTGAGGGGAAGCGTTCTGAAGAACTTTAATAAATGTATTAGAGTTTGACGAGCATTTATGTAACTTAAATTGAGCCGTGCCAAGCAGCTTTGTTAATTCACTATAAGTATTAGTGAGTTCAGTAAGCGTGTCACAACCATAGAGAATGTCATCAACATAACATTGATTGTGGATAATCTGGGCGGCAAGTGGATAGCGTTCTTTATGAGTGTCAGCGAGATAATTTAGTGATCTAGTGGCAAGATAGGGAGCACTATTCGTGCCGTATGAGACGGTCTGCAATTCTATGCACCTGAGTGGGGCGGCTGGGTGATCTCGCCACAAAATATTTTGCAAAAATGTTTGCGTAGGATTCACTTTGATTTGACGATACATCTTTTCAATATCTCCCACAAAAACATATGGAAAGCTCCGAAATCGGCAAAGAATGTCATACAAATCGGGTTGCACTGGAAATCCTTTAAGCATAATATTGTTCAGGGACACGCCGTTAGAAGATTTCATGCTTGCATCAAACACTACGCGTAATTTTGTCGTAAGACTATCTTCTCGAATGACACAGTGGTGGGGTATAAAATATTTATTTTCATTCAATTCATTTTTTTGAGATAATGCCACATATTTTCCGTGGCCTAGTGAAATATATTCGTCAATAAACTGTTTGTATCTAGAGAGCAAATTGGGATTTTTAGCGAATCTTTTTTCCAGGTTTTCAAACCGTTTCAATGTTTGATTGTACGAGATTCCTAACTGCAAGTGCGCGTTTGGGGTTTTGAGGGGCAAGTCGACTTGCAAGTAGCCATTTTCCAAGTGGGTGATTGAAGTGGAGAAAATTTCTTCAGCAAGAGATTCCTCTGGTGACAAAGTCCTTTTATTAAGGTCAGAAACGTGTTCGACAGACCAGAATCGTTCAAAAAGTTTCTCTAAATTGCTACCGTGAATTAAATGGCACGCGTTTTCTGCTCTACAGGGAGACTTAGCTGAACTGGACAGAGTGGTGCAATAATTGAGACCGTCTACGGGAATCGGTCCACTTATGATGTAGCCAAGATGAGTTTCTACCATATATAAAGAATTTCGGGGTATTTGAGCGGGGATTCCATGAACAATTGAATAATAGACATCTGCGCCTAAAAGTATGTCTATTTGCCCAGGAACGTTGAAATCGGGATCAGCAAGCATGCAACAGGGAGGTATAGAAATATTTTCTCTAATGAGCGTGTAATGGGGCATGTTCTTTGTGATTCGATCTAGGACATAGCATGAAATATCAAATTTGGTATTTTCCTTAACTGTGGAGAACACCGAAATATCTACCATTTTGTTAGTGTGAGTTGCAATTCCATGAATTCCTGTTAGAGTTATGGGACTGTCTCTAGCA